CCACATTCCAAAGCACCAAAATAAAACAGCTCAAGTGTAGCTTTCAGCTCCCCAGCCCATGATGTATTTCATTTGCTACGGTCCAGCCATGGTAACAATGCCTTTCATTTTCTTACGGCCTAAGATGATTTTCTTTCTGTGAGGGCCATTTTGAGAGAGAGAGATAGAAACAGGGAGAGAACAGAGAGAGAGAGAGAGAGAGAGGGAAAGAGAGAGAGAGAGCCTGCGAGAAGAAAAGAAAAAAACCACCTCTCTTTTCCTTTTCAGGGTATCATTTGCAATTTAAAGCTAACCTGGGGAGTGCTGGAACAATGCTTCTGCCCATAAAACGGTCCCGGCCGGGGGCCGCATGCCCAATGAGGGTGATGTCGAGCTATTTAGTTCTTTGTCCTCCCATAATATCTACTTAATGCAGTTCAATAGCGGTGGATTGTTAGCGGCATTAAGGATTCTATTAAGTTCTTCCCAAAGCCGGGCTATTCTCCTCCAGCTGTTGAGAGCCTGAGGCTTTCAGCCAAGGCTGGAGGAGAACCTTCTGGAAAGCACCTCTGCCGAATGGGTCTTCTCCAGCCTCAGACAGACCCGACTTGATCTCAGATCTGCGACGGTGGAGCCCAGTTCGGAAACGCCTGCCGGCCCGCCCGTGGCTAAGAAGAGATGTTTTCAAATCCCACCAGGCCCCAAAGCTTTGAATTTGCGAGCTCCTACCCCTTCATAGTCTTATATGAAATCAAATGTTTTTCACTCCTTAAATCTCTGAAAACATTTTTTAGACTATTTGAATCTTTTTCTGTTCAGCTTTAGGGAGAATGAATGATCCACTCCGTCCTGCTTTATTCTTCATTGTTGAGATGCAATCGGACGAGAGTTCAGTTTCAGACGTGTTGACAGAAACCGACCGCTTGAGAAACCTCGTTAAACACTTGGTAAGTTTGATCTTGTGGTTTTTCTTTCTATATTTGGAAGCCAGTATGAGGACTTCATTTTAAAATAGGAAACATGGTGGGCTTGGGCCAGTGAATGAAACGGCTTCTACCTGCAGAAAGTTGGCCTGAGACGGACTTGCCATCATTCTCAGCTTGAGTTGAGTCAGCTGGTGAGATCCAGGGGCAGCCTTCCCATCTTGACCTAATGCTCCAAGCCTACCTTGTAGAATTTGGTGAAGCCAGATAGAGCCAGGTGGCTGGGGTCACCCCTTCAGGGCCTAGCACCTTACCTGGCACACAGGGGTGCCCTCTGCTTCCTGCACAAGGATCATTTATCACTGAGTTCTCAAGAGCCATCCAAGGACCCTTGGATGCTAATTCCTTCTTGGGGCCACCCTGCCCCACAGATAATCCTGGGGGGGGGGTGGTCCCCTTCTTGCCCATCTCAGCAGAAGGGGTCACAGGCAGAGCAGCCCTGGACAGTGTGGCCTCCAGAGCTGGCGGCTCCATCCAGAGTGGGCGGAGAGACGGAGGCGGGCGGGGGCTGCGGGAGGGCCAGCGGGAGGGGAGGGGGCCCTGCCAGGATTTCACACAGTTGGCTGGAAGAGGCAAGCACTAAGCTGCCTTTTCAACCACAGTAAACCCTGTCCATCTGGCCACCCTAAAACTCTGTTAGCTTGTCCCCCTCGCCCAGGGCTGATTAGACCTCCTGAAGCAGAAGTAACGCCATCAATGGTGTAAACCCCGGCCACTTGAGGGTATTACATTTCATTTCATGCTTGACTTAATCAAAACTGGGGAAATGAAATGTACACCTTTTTGATGTCCTTTTCCCTGCTGTTTAAAGAGAAGAATCTTAACCCATTTGATCTTCACATGCACCCAGTAAATGACCAAATATGGCAAGCTGTCAAAAGCAGAAGGTGGCCAGTTGCCAGGCGGTGTTGGGTCACTGAGAAAGCACTTAATGCGGGCAAACATAGGTTTGGAGCCCAGGGACATTGTGGCCGAGGCAGCGTTTCCCCCAGCCGGGCTGCAGTTAGGAACTTTTGAAAGGAAAAGTTGGGTTGGAGAAAGGAGCAGGTCTTTTTGATTCAGAGGGATGGAGCATGGGTTGACACTTGCCTTCAAATTTCCCGTCACGTATCCCTTCCTCCTGGAAGATTTTCGCACCCTCCCCCACTACTGGTTAAGAAGTGGACTCTGGGGTCACTCTGTGTGTCCTGAGCCAAGGTAGTTAATCTCTCTAGGGGCCTCAGTTAACTCATCTGTAAAATGGAGATGATTATAGTCTTGACCTCATTGGTTGCTATGGTGATTAAATGATATACCATATGCAGGGTGCTTAGCAGGATGCCCGGTACGAGACATTCTCAATAATTGCAGCCTATTGTTACTGTTACTCTATTTATTACATCTGCTGTGGACTAAATTGTGCCCCTCTCCCCAGTTCATATGCTGAACCCCAACACCCAATGTGGTTTCACTTAGAGAGAGGCTTTTAGGAGGTAACTGAGGTTCAATGAGATGGTCAGGGTCAGGTACAAACCTAATAGGACTGTGGGACTTACAAGAAGAGAAAGATCTCTCTTTTTCCACTTACAAGTGGAAAAAGCCATGTGAGGACACAGCGAGATGGCGGCCATCTGCAAGCCGGGAAGAGCACTCTCACCAGAAATTCAACTGGCCGGCACCTTGATCTTGGACTTCCCAGCCTCTGGGACTGTAAGAAAGTAAATCTCTGTCGTTGAAGCCTCCCCGTCTATGGTATCTTGTTATAGGAGCCCTAGTGACTAATGTGACAACCTGTTAGGGCTCTCTATTCTTGTTCTTTATGTGTACATCTCTTCAGTAAGACTCGCATTCTTTGGAGGCTGAGTCCATGGCTCACCTGGCTTCGTACACGGGGGGCTCAGCACCCTGCTTGGTATACAGTGGATGATCATTAAATACCCACCAATTACATAAACAAGGGGACACAGTTTTGTGTGACAAGAGAGCCCTGAGCCTTTTCTCATCCCATTTTGGCCACTTTGGCCACTTCTATACTCTGTGACCTCAAACAAGTCATTCACCATCTCTGTGCCTCAGTCTCCCCACCTTGGAACACATCGGGTTGGGCTGGCAGATTTCTAGGGTCTCAGAGACAGTGAGATTCTGCCTTTAATTAAAGACTGAGGTGGGGAGAGCTGGGTAACAGGGCAGAGCCTACAACTGGAGCCTAGAATGAGGCTGCTGCCTCCCCCCACCCCAGGCATCAGGAAGAAGATTGGAGATGACACTGGACTAGCAGGAAGATGCCAAGATGGGTTCACTAGGCAGCTTGAGTTGGGGGTGTGGAGGATGCAGGCTCAGGACTGAGCAAACACAGTTCTCACTCTGGGTGCCTCGAAGCTCTGGTTCCTGTCTGCCCTGTGGGCTGGGGAAGGGGTGCAGAGCTTCCTGTCCAGAACTCATGGATGCAAGCCTTCTGGAGTGCAGAGTTGGCTGAAACAGATATGATTGTCCATCTAGTCCAGTGGTTTTCAACAGCCATGCATATGGAAACACCAGGAGGGGTGCTTGTTAAATCCTTGTGCCCCTATCCTAAGCCTCGCCTTCTTAACTGGTCCAGTAAAGGGATGCTCCAACTTGGGGATCTCTACCAGGCCACCCTGGAGAGCCAGGAATGCTTCCTGGATATGCTCCTGTCAACCAGCCTTGCCTGTCACTAACTCACTCATAACCTTGGGTCAGTCACATCGACTCTCTGAGTCTTAGTGTCTTCATCTCTGAAAGGAGCATGGTAGCATTTGCCTCTCCTAGGGCAGGTGCTGGTCTGCCTATGAAGGCTGTTTCTCTGTAAGAGCACACCGTTTGAGCCCCACGCTGAAGTTCACAAGCCCTCCGAGGCAATAGACAACATGTTTGCCTGCAAAAGTGGAAAACTAGAAACAACCTAAAATACATGATGATACGTCCCTGCAATGGACCATTTTGCATCCATCCAGTGAAAATGCCTCTGATGTAAGGTTAAGTTAAAGTAAGTAGTCGCAAACCAATATACAGAGCATGACGCTGTTTTTGTAAAATATGTGTGTAGTGTGGGTGTGTGTTCACTCTTTCAACACATCTGTAGAGGCATGGGCTCTGGGAAGCAGACGGACCTCTGATCTGGACGCATTTAGTACCCTCAAGAATGGGCAATTTATGAACATCACTACTGCCTCCGTTTCCTTATCTGTAAGATGGGGGTGATACGGATACCTGCTGCCTCACAGGAGTGTTATAAAGATTACATGAGTCAATACAGAGTAAGGTTCTTAGCACACACTCGCAACAGATATCCAGTAAAATGTGAGCTGTTATTAGTTACATAAAAGCGTTTTTTAAAAAATTCAGACAGGATGCACACCCAAATGATAACCATGGTCACCAATCATTCCTGAATGACTAATTACCAGACAAACAATTTTTTCTCAGGAAGAAAAATAACTGGGACAGAGCGTATATCCTTTTCATATGGAAAGATGTCCAAAAGCAATTGGGTAGGAAGAAAAGTGGGCTCTCTAACAGGCTGCGTGACGGAAACTCAGATTGCCAATAAGAATGAAATGTTGGTATGCACAGCGAGAGAAGCCTGGAAGCTAGTAGATCCCTCCTGTCACGGTGATTCCTTCAGGAGCAGGACTGGGATTGGAGGGAGGACTGGCCAGGCACCCAGGGCACAGAATTTGCACCAGCCGCTATGGGCCCCTCTCCCCTCCCCCGAGTCCCAGGCCTGCCCAGCGGCGTGAGCGTCCAGGAACCGTCATTTACTACACTCGCCACTTTTGTATGGTTGTAGTTATTTTAACAATTATTCTTTATTTCCGTGTTGGATGTTATTCTTTATAATAATAAAGAATTGAAAATATGAAAAGGAATATATGTACATATACATGGGGCTGGGACAGTGTGCTATACACCAGAAATTGACACATTGTAATTGCCTGTACTTCAATAAAAAAAGAGAAAGAATTGTTTATTTAAATAATATAACTGTTTTGACAATTATTCTTTATTTCTGTTTGTTTCTATTTTCTTTCTTTTTCTTTTTTTGTGGAACGCTTCACGAATTTGCGTGTCATCCCTGCCCAGGGACCGTGCTAACCTTCTCTGTGTTGTTCCAGTCTTTCAGTGTACGCGCTGCCGAAGCGAGCACTCTATTTTGTTTCATGTTTGTTTTATTTCCTCAAAAGCAATACTGTGTATTTCCTTAACAGGTCGGGGTATCAGTAAAGATGTAATGCAATCATAATACCAGTACTCACAGCTGTCATTGGCCCATTTGGATCCCAGGTATGGAGTTGCTCCCCACAACCCTGCCTGGTCCTCGGTGCGGTATTTACCCTCTGAAAGAACTGCTCCATCCAGCCCTTTTGGAGCTCCTGCTGTGTGCCCGGCTTAGCTCAGCTCACTCTCCTGCCAGCCTTCCATGTAGGGTCTGTTAATATCCCCACTTTTATGTGGTTTCCTTTAAAACCCATTTTTAAATGAGGGAATTCGAAGTTTAGAGACCTCAAGAGACTAGCATGAGACCAACTAGTAAGAGTTTAAGGTGGGACCTGAGCCCTGGGATTCGGGCTCTGGAGCAGGTACTTTCCCAGAGAGCCCACCCTGCTCTACTCAGTCCAGATTTATCCACGTAATTACATCTTCAACTATCCTGCTCTGGGGGGCACTTTTTTTTTAATTTGGTGGAGCTGTATGCCACCAAACATCCCACCAAGGAAACCCCAGTCTCGGCCCCATCCCTGGGCTGCACCAGCTTTTCTTTCCCCCCTTTTGTTAAGAGGCCTCGTCTCTGACTTGATGAAAACATTTGTAATAGATAATCAAATGCTGATATGTTGCAAGGGACAATGCCTTATTTGTTAAATATAAATGAACATGAACACGGGTCCTCGGTGCCAGAAAGGCAAAGGGTTCTGAGGCCTTTTCAGGGGCACAGGCTGAGCCCCCGGGGAAAGAAAGCCAGGCGCCTGTAAAGGGCCTCGTCTAGGACGGTGATCGTCCGACAGCTCTTGTGTGACAAGATACATAGTTTCTTTTCAGCAACAGGCAGATTATCGGTTACTATAGTTTCCCTAATGCTCAAATACAGCTCAGGCCTAAGCTGAACAGAATAGGTTAAAAGGTGCCGAAGTTTGGCCCGGGAAACCACATGTTGAGAATCAGACACCAAACAAAGCAAAAAGCACATCTCCCTGGTCTTTGATGTCTTTTCTGAGGGATGTAGAGTGAGAAAAAGACAACCGGTGCTCAGGCCAGGGGCTCGATGGGCCCCTGTGACAATGGGCGGCCGGGTGGGAGCTGAGCACAATGCCCAGACAATGTCCCCAATCCCGGGCAGCCCCAGGCGCGCTGTGCCTTCACAAACACCCTGCTGGAAACAGCATTTTAGCTCCCAGTTTCTTAGAAAGTTCCTGCCTGCCTCCCCAGCCCTGCTAAACCTCCTCCCTTCCAAACCCGACCCTTTTACAAGGTTCCTCCTGAGAGAGGCGACTTTCTCGCTCAAATGCCACTGCCCCCAGCCCAGCCGCCCGAACACAGCCCCTGAGTGCACCACTTTTCCGCAGGCTTTAAATTTTCCTAGATCTGCATAAACATCCTTCCTCAACCCTTCCAATAATTCATCTCGGCTCTAAAATATTGCCTTGTGTATCCCTTGGAGGTGACAGTGTGACGTTTTTTCATAAACGGGATTAAATTAACCACTATTTATGCCGGCAATGTGGGTTCCTCCTCTTCTGCCGGGATCTGTTTATTTCATTTGGCTTTTTATTTAAATTTAGGGAGCAAGATAAATGGGCTTTCGTATTTGGAGATCTCCATCCATCACCAGTCGGCTGCATCTGGGAACCTAAGTGCATGGGAGATTATGAGCGAGGGAGAGACGGCCGGCAGGCTGCAAGCTCCAAGCTCGTGCAGGGAGTTCTGAATGTTTTTTGGTGGTTGTTGCAGTATTGTGCTTCTGGTTGTCATTAGTTCTTTATAATGTTTCATGAAAAATATCTAATTGTAACAACTGTATTCCAAGAGTGAACATCTTCCTTGAATTGAAGCGCTCACAATGGCCGCAGGATAACTGTCCTTGAATTTGAGCCCTTTGTGGGCTGTCAATAGGCTTACAATGTGCTGAATTAGCAGGCATATTAATGGGCAGATGCAATAGGAGCCTTTCTTCAGCCTCAAATCTTCTTATGCAAATACCCCATGAATTCAGTTCAAAGCGCTGCCTTCAAAATGAGCTGATCTCGCCCGCTCAGAAGGGACCCCGGGAGAAAGTGACATGAGAAAAGTTTCGACACTTGTTTTTATAACTGGACATGATCTTGTTATCATAATCTGATACTGGTCACTTGCATGGCCGGCTTGTAGGATTTTAAACCCTTAACAGAGAGAGATAATCTTGGCCTTTGTCGGAGTGTGGACAGAATCCCGGCGTGCAGGGAAGCCGGCAGGGAGAAGCACAGTTCTTGCTTTCTCAAACAAACCTTTTCATGATAAAAGCTTTTATCCTGGGATAATCACCCGGCTGGATTTCAGTGGTGTTGGTAAGGTGTTGGCAAAGGGCAGGAATGGCACATTTTTTTTTTAAATGAAAATGACCAATTCTGGAGATTACCCGCAATCACACTGAATTAGCTCTCAGAGTCCCAAAATCGGCCATTGGAGTGTTTTCAAAGATCCCAAAGAAAACCAGATTTTGGTCACCCCTTCCTAGCCTGAGGCAAGATAACACAAGGGTAGCTAACACTCCTGCGGCACCAAAGTGTGCCAGGCATTTTTATGCTGTTCTTAGCCTTTTACACATATCAGCTCGTGTAATTTTCACCAATACCCTATGAAGTAGCTACTATGATTGGCGCCAATTACGGATGAGAAAAATGAAGGAAGGGGTTAAGTTATTTGTCCAGGCGTTGAGAGGTTATGAAGTCCCTCCAGGGGAGAAAAACGCACCGCGCGGGCACATCAGCTCATTCCAGAGGGAAGTGGTCATTCCCCCAGGAAGACGTTTCCTGGCAGAGGAGTCTCCCCTCCCCCCCGGCCCCTGTGAGCTGAGCGGCCGCACAGCGTGAGGGCATTTGGCCAGTCGGCCCCCATACAGTGGTCTCTCCTCTTTGACACAGTTACATGACAAATGTGTATCTATAAAAGTGTTTTAAAGGAGAATGTACATTTAATAGTAATGCTCCTTCATATCATACTATTATAATTGTATCTAGAACCGAATCCCATGGCCCCATGAAAGTTACAGACACGGAGATGGTACGTTATAAACCGAAAGTCAGTGATGTCGCTTAAGGAGAAGTGACGGATTGGGCCGTATCACCGTTAACAGGAACAGCCGGCATGTTCGGACTATTTGTGCGTTATTTACTCATTCATTTACTGAGTGTCGCCTCGTTTGTTCCTTACCTGCACGCTGTGAAGGGAGGCCTATGATGTCCGTTTTACAGCTGAGGAAACCGATTTATCCAAATTTGCCTTCCCATCACCAAAAGTCAGTTTTAGTCCCATTTCTTGTCCCTTTGCTCCTCATCTCTCTCTGTAAGAGTTTTATGATTATTATTATTACTGTAATAGAGATACTAAGAGTGAACCCAGGTCCTCATGCATGCCAACCACCATTAGGCTATTCCCTCAGGCCCCTCGCTGTAAGAAGGTGTGGTTCATTACATTATTGCTTTGCATTTCCCACATTGGGTGTATGTGTGCCAATGTTTGTGTTTTCCTGTTTGTGTGTGTGTGTGTGTGTGTGTGTGTGTTTGGTGTGGAGGATGATTGTGGGGAGGAGGAGGGAGAGAAGAAACAGAATGATTTACCACTAGGGAGACTGAAGAACGAAGAGACAAAGAACTTGCTCAGGGTCCTGGATCTGGGTCAACCCCTCCAAGATACCCTTGGGCAAGAGACACTCCCACCCCAGACTTGGGACGCTAAAGGTTTATTAACCAAAAAGAATTTAAAAACAAAAGGGTAAGACATGTCTGTGCTTCCCAGAATAACACAGTGATAACTACAACAGTAATAACAATAAATGCTAATAACATGAGGCACTAATTCTAGGTGCTTTCTCATGCCCCGGGCACCCTGCTAATATGTGGATAATCCACTAGCCATAGATGAGAGAATGGAAAGGAAGAAAAACGCCTCATATGGAACAAAATAAGCAACTATTGGGAACATAGATTAGGAGTGGGGGGAAGTTAGATAAATGGTGAATTAGTCTGCTTATGCAATTTATTATATTAGTCTGCGATAACAAACACCACAGACCGGGTGGCTTAAACAGAATTTTTTCTCATCGCTCTGAAGGGTGGACGTCTACACTCAAGGTGCCGTCAGGGTTGGTGTCTGGTGAGGCATCTCCTCCTGGCTTGTAAACGCCCACTTTCTCGTTTTGTCTCTCACATGACCGTTGCCCTGTGTGCTCACAGAGACAGAGAGACTGGGAGACAGAGAGAGAGAAGGAGAACACATTCTCGTGTCTTTTCCTCTTCTTAGAAGGACACTAGTCAGATTAGAGCCCTGCCTTTATAACCTTTTGTATATATACAATGTGACACTACGCAGCCATAAAAAAAGAATAAAATAATGCCATTTGCAGCAACATGGATGGAGCTGGAGATCATCATTCTAAGTGAAGTAAGTTAGAATGAGAAAGAAAAATATCATATGATATCACTTATATGTGGAATCTTAAAAAAAAAAAAGACACAGATGAACTTCTTCACAAAAGAGACTCGCAGACAGAGAAAAAAAAAACTTATGGTTACCAAGGTGGGGTGGGGAGGGATAAATTGGGAGGTCGAGATTTGCAATACTAACTACCTTATATAAAATAGATAAACAACAAGTTTATACTGTATAGCACAGGGAACTCTATTCAATATCTTGTAGTAACCTACAATGAAAAAGAATATGAAAACAAATATATGTGTGTACATGTATGACTGAAACGTTATGCTGTATGCCAGAAATGGACACACCACTGTAAACTGACTATACTGCAACTAAAAAACCCCAAAAAATATGGAAACCAGTCTGATTAGAGCCCCGTCCTTATAACCTCATTTAACCTTAATTACCTCCCTAAAGCCCCTGTCTCCAGACACAGTCACACTGGGGACTAGGGCTTCAACATATAAATTTT